GACACTGAAAAGTCATCTCTCTCTCTGAGCCTTATGCTCGCCATCGAAAAGGCAAAAGGCTTTCAAGTGTGTGATTTCTATGGTCTCTTCCAAACTTGACAGCCCACAACTGTCTAAAATCTCTATAGTATGGAATTAGAAATCAGCCTTTCTGGAACGAATTCAAAATTTTAGATGTTCATACTTTTTGGCTCAGTAATTCAGTTTCTAGGCATTTTATCTTATAGAACTAGCAAGACACACACCTATACATATACACTCACTGCAGCATAAATTAAAAACAAATGAACAAGGGAGAAGAGACTGGGGTTGGAAGACTACACTTCAAGCTCAGGGCAGGAAACTTCTCCCATCTTGTTAGTTTCCATTCCCACTTGAGAATCTATTGCTGCTGCACCTACCTATCCTTGTAGTTCGGGTGGGTCATAAAATATCTAGGACATGATGCAAAATTCGGGCTGCATCGTCAACTGATGTACCCCAGTTGGGCTTTCAGGATCTTCGGGGGACCAATGCAGAAGTTGTTTCTCAAGAGGAGAGTAGGTATCTATGGGAGTTCCCTGACTGTCCAGTGGTTAGGACTTGACGCTTTCACTGACGTGGCTGGGCCTCAGTCCCTGGTTGGGGAACACACAAGCCGGGGGGGCATTGCCAAAATAATAATAAGAAGAAGAATAGGTGTCTACAGAGGAGGGCGTACATTAACTCCAAAATCCTAAAAGTCTGCTCTGTGATGCTCTTTTGGTGCGTTCTGGAGTTTTCAAAGAGCATTCTTATTTGCCACAACACTTTGATGTTGTGTTATAACCCTTTATTATTGTATCTGTTGGCTCATACAATCTAAGTGGTAGAGCAGCTTACACTGGAGCTGAAGTTGCTGCAAAATCTTCTCTTGTCATGGTTCCCTCTTAAAACTGGCAGCCTTATGGTCACTTTGTAGGTGGGGCAACATAACACACTCAAAGTGGTCTGCGTCGACTCCAAATTCTAAAAATACCCCCCAGTGTTGTTCTCTTTATTCATGGTAATTGTTTAGATGTGCAGCAATTGGTCTTTTGCCTTGAAAGGGATATCTCAACACGATCCAGACTATTGAACTTCCAGAAACTTCACTAAGATGGCAAAAGTGAAAAATTTTTTTCTCTTTCCCTCTAGGGAGTGAGGCAACATGCAAGGCACCAAAAGTACTTACTACTTCCTTGGAGTTCCCTGGTGGTCCTGTGGTTAGGATTCTGAGCTTTCACTACCATGGCCTGGGGCCTGGGTTCAATCCCTGGTCGGGGAACTGAGATCCCACAACCTGCATGGTGCAGCCGAAAAAAAAAGGTACTTACTACCACATGTTCATCAGCTCCAGCCAGTGTAATTTTATCAATGTAATGGACCAATGTGATGTTTTTCAGAGTGTCATGGTGTGTCAAGAGTGTCAAGATCTCTGGAAACAACATTATGGCAGAGAGCAGGAAAGTTGACATAATTCCAAGGCAAGACCATGAAGGTATACTGATGGCCTTGCCAGGTAAAAGCAAATTGCATATGGTGGTCCTTACAAATTGGCATGGAAAAAAGACTTATTTAGGACAAGAGCTGCATACCAAGTGCCAGGGGCTGTGTTGATTTGCTCATGGAAAAAGTGTGGGATAGCGGCTACAATTGGAGTCACCACCTGATTAAGTTTACAGTAGTCCATAGCCATTCTCCAAGATCCATGCAACTTCTTTTTTTTTCCTTTCTTTTCTTTTTTTTTTTAAACTTTTTTCTTGTTCTGCATGCAACTTCTGCACAGGCTGAACATGTGAGTTAATGGAGATGTGATGGATATCACCATCCCTGCATCTTGTAATCCTTTAATGGTGGCCTGGATCACTGTAACTCCCCCAGGGATGGGATTTTGCTTCTGGTTTAGTATCTTGGTAGGGAAGGGACATTCTTTTGGCTTTTACTTAGCTCTTCCTACGATAATGGCCCTTACTGGATCAGAGAGAGAACGTGGGGATTCTTAGATTGGGGAAGTATATCTTTTCCAAATACACATCCAAGAACCGAGGAAATGGACCACAGGTGAGTCCATACACCAACAAGTTCCACTGTGAGTCAAATTTGAGCTAAGACTTAGTCTATCACCTGATCACTATAAGCTCCTACTTTGACTTGTGGGCACAGTCACATTTTAGGTCTCTAGGAATATAAAGTCAATTCAGAGACAATGTAGAGTGATCTCCCAAAGACCTGGGTATTTCCTATTCCTCAGTGTGCAGTCACTCCTGTATATAGCCGTAGGTCCTAGGCAAAGAGTTAAGATATATGCCACCTGATCGTGGAGAAGTTCTCTGAGGTGTGACAGACTGGGGCTGGGAAGGAGGAAGCTGGTACTGAGGAGACCCCCTGGGAAGCTACACCCTGGAGTGCTACTTACACTTGCTAGGGAACCATCCTTTGTGGCGCTGAGGAGACGTGTTGGAGGCTGAGGATCACTGGGTGTCTCACATGCCACTGGAACAAATGTATAATGGCATGTGTCCATTATACATCAGTATAGCATCAGACAAAGTAGTTTCACTGCCCTCTGTGCTCTGCCTATTCATTGTCCCCACTAACCCCTGGCAACCATCGATCTCTTTCTTGTCTCCATAGTTTTGACTTTTCCAGAATGTCATATAGTGGGAATCATATCATAGGTAGCCTTTTCAAATTGGCTTCTTTCACTTAGTAGAATGCATTTAAGTTTCCTTCATATCTTTTCATGTCTTGATAGCTCATCTCTTTTTAGCATTGAATAATATTCCACGGTCTGGATGTATCACAGTTTGTTTCTCCATTTGACCACTGAAGGATATCTTGGTTGCTTCTTTGACAATTATGAGTAAAGCTGCTATAAACATTCATGGGCAGGTTTTGTGTGGACACAGGTTTTCAACTCTTTTGGGTAAATACCAAGGAGCATGATTGCTGGATCTTATAGTTAAGACTATGTAAGAAATTAACAAACTGTCTTCCAAAGTGACTGTAACCAATGTAGTTTTTAGTTTATGGATAAGGAAAAGGGTTCATGGAAGTTAATCAACTAGTCCAAGATTGGAAGGTACCTGGGGATTTCCACTCAATGTCGTTCTGCTTTGCTCCTTACCCAGTGCTCAACATATGCAGGAGCATGGAGGCAAAGTCTGAAGGATGTGCCCTAAGGATATTGGATGGGTAAAACCTGGGCACCACGTTTGTTGGTCACAGCGAATGTGAATTCTCACCCTTCTCCCGCAAACCTGCTCTGCCTATAGCTTTCCTTGCCTCAGTTGAGGGCAACTCTATCCTTCCAGTTCCTCAGGCTAAAAACCTTGGAGTCAGCCTTAACTTCTTTTCTTCTCTCATACTCTGTATCTATTCTTTCAAAAAATCCTGAGGACTCTACCTTCAAAATATATCCAGAATCTGAACACATCTAAATACTTTCATTTCTAACCATCTTTGTTCCAGCAACAGTTAGTGCTGGTTTTAATGATCACCCTATCTTCCTGATTGACTGATGACAATTGTATATTATACATCTGATGTTTGGAAAATTTTTATGCAGATTAGCTTCTGGCTCCATACCTCTCAAACCTTGTTTCTTTTCTATTATCCACATACTTCCAAGGCCAGGTGCTGTAGGAGACCCTCATATCAGGATACCACCTCTAGTGCAACTTCCTGCCACGATGTCAGGTGAATTGGTACAGTGGGTGGTAGTATTCCTAGAAGCCATTCCTACAAAAGGATGACAGGAAATAGCCATGAACCACAGAAATATATCTACTAAACCCAAACTAAATGTATCTCCAACTCAACCTCTCCTTAGCTGGATCCTCAAAATGTTCCTTGTCCCTCCAGCATGAAGGGAAGTATGATGGAGGGGAAGTTGGAATGCAAAGAAATGGGAATCAACCAATAGCGATTCAAATATCTTGCTTTTTTAATATTTAAAAAAATATTTATTTATTTATTTGGCTGCACCGGGTCTTGGTTGTGGCACATGGGATCTTCGTTGCCGTGTGCAGGACCTTTAGTTGCAGCATGTGGGACCTAGTTCCCAGATCAGGGATCAAACCCGGGCCCCCTGCACTAGGAGCGTGGAGTCTTAACCGCTGGACCACCGGGGAAGTCCCAAATATCTTGCTTTTTAAACTCTTACAAAACCATATGACCATTTTTCTTCAAGGCTTCGGAAGGGGCCTCTGCAAGTGAAGTGTCCCGAAGTGTACGTTTCGGTAGCTTCCTGGTAAGTCAACTTGTGGGTTATTTTAAATTGCCACCTGCTCCCTTCCCGCAGAGCTTCTCCTCTCTCTTATCTGCTTTTCCTACTTCCATAGCATCACCGTTCCTTAGGTACTGTATAACTTACTTATTTATTATGTTTCCCGCTGCTAGATGTTCATTGTTTCTTGTGTCTAGAATAGGGCCAGGTGCATAGTAGATGCTCCAAAAAATTTGCGAATAAATGAATGAAATAAATAATGCATAAATGAGTGAGTGAATAAACTAAATATAATCTAGGATCAGGATTACCATAATCCAGTATTTGGAAACTTAAAAATTTGAGTTCTATTCCAGACTCTGCCACTTTACCTTGACCATGTCATTTAACCTTTCTGGGCTTCTGTTTCCTCGTGCATAAAATTAATTGGCTATTTTTTCATTCAATTAACATCCGTTGCGACACAGCTATGATCAGAGGATACATCATTGTATTCTCTTGTTTCCTTGCTTTCAAATCCTGTTACTCTTGCAGAGCGCGGAACTCGGAGGCTTCAAAATTCCCGCCTCTTCCAGGCCCCGCCCACCCGCCAAGCCCATGTTTAGATTCCTCCCCTAGTCCGCACAGCCTGCCCCAGTGCAGAAGCCCCGCCCTCCCTAGTCGCAGTCATCCAATGGCCTAGATACACGGCTAGGTGAATACCGAGGGCTTTAGGTGTCCTCCTGGCGCCTGACCAGAGTCTTGGGGAATTCGGTTGCTCTTGAGCAGTCACTTCCCCGAGCTGGCCGAGCCATATGCAGCATCACCAGCTCCCCGAGGTTCCCTCGCAAGGGTCAGACGAGGCTCCCGAGCCCGGTCGCCCCAGTCTCTGGGAGCCCTGGGTCTTCACTGGACGAGGCTTTCGGCGCGCGGAATTCTGGGAGTGGTAGTTTTCTTCCTCCTGGTTCCTTCCAGGTACACTGGTGGCTAAGACTCGCAGAACTACGATTCCCAGACGCCCGAGCGAGTCTCAGGTCACGTGGCCGGCAAGGCCGTTGGGCGGGGGCCTGGCCGGTGCTCCGCAGCTGTCTGTGACACCCGGAGCCCGCGGGCCGCTTCGGCCCCCAGAGAGCCCGGCATGGTACGCGCGGGCGCCGTGGGGTCGCATCTCCCTGCGTCCGGCTTGGACATCTTTGGGGATCTGAGGAAGATGAACAAGCGCCAGGTAACGGAGTCCCGCGTGGGGGGCGCGTCCGGAAGCCGCGACCGGCTGAGACAGCGGGGAGTCGGAGCTCCCCGGATGGGGCTCCCGCAAGGACAGCGCCCCGCGACTGGGGCCGGTGGCGACCCGAGGCTGGGCTCTCGGAGGCCCTGGGTTCAAATCCGCACAGACCCACGTGTGGGCACTTTCTTGCACTGACAAAAGCGCAATTAGGGGAGCGTGGCCCGGAAGGGGAAGAGAATAGGAACCCCGTCCTTTGGAGGTCGTGTGGTTGAGAAAGCGGGGAGAGATGACTCTACCGCGAGTGACAGCCTTCTGCACGTATTTGAAGGGCCATCCCGTGGAAAAGGGAACAGATTTCTCGGGGGGGTTTCTGAGGCCTGAGGTCCTGAAGGAGGCTGCCCGCGGATGGAAGTGGCAGAAAAGCAGGCAAAAGGGGAGAACTTCCTAGCGATGGGAGCTGTCCAGTAATGCCTCCCGACGCGGTTTCTTCCCATCCCGGGGAGTGTTTTCCCGGCCAGGCGCTGGGACTAAATAAAACTCCTCGTGCGGGAGAGCTCACTGGTGGTGCTCCATCATTGTGGACTGAATCAGTGTTCCAAAAGGGATTCCAGATGTCTTCTCTAACTTCATTCTTGGATTCCGTGGTCTGGCAGCACCTTGAATATCGGAGGCAGCTAGCGTGGGGTCTTTGGGCAACTGGAGTTGATTTCTCACCCCTCTGGGAGAGGGCCTCGGAAGAAGACTTCCTTTATGCCTCTCCTTAGCCCGACCCCGTCCCCCTCTCTCTTTCTTTTTTCCGAGTAGAATTTCAGACTAGTGCAGTAGCGTGGGGGAATTTGGTGACTTGAATCTCATGAACTGTGTTGAGAACCTGGTTGCTTCTAGGTGTGCATGTCAGTTGAGCTCCTGGGAATTTCTGTGATTAAGATGAGTTGTGGCAGAGATTATCACTAGCTGGAAAAACCAACAGCTAATGCCCTGAACATTGATGTGGTTTACAAGAAAATCCTCCAGGAAGTAGAGCTTTACTTAAAAAAATCTAGACTTAATTGGGTAGGTTTTAAAAATGTCTCTAAAATTGGTACCGATTACCGACTGCAGACTATCAGTGAACGCCTTCTGGTGAATCTGTCAATCGCTAAGCCAGTTTGCCTTTTGAAAGCTCTGTAGATTCCCACTCTCAGTGATAAGGCCCGTTAGTAGCTGGTTGCATTGTCTGTATTTTGCTAGTCTTCTAATTAAAATTCAGAAGCTCAAATCTGCTGCCTCCTTGTCCTTTTTTTTTTTTTTTAAAGCTTTGTCCTTTTGCTTTTTTCTTTTTCCCTCCACAATAGCATCCTGTGACACCTTGTCAGGCATGCTCGCTCCACCAGCCTTGGAAGAGGGACCTCCTTTTTCTGCTGCCCTTGCTTACAGTTAATTAAGGAAAGAGCCACATGCAAAAACAAGGACTCTTTGTTTCTGCAGTGAGAAAGAGAGGAAGAAAAACAGCCACTGGCATTTCTGCTGCTCTGTCAGCCACAATATCTGGTCTGAAACGTTTGTTTAAAACCCGTAGACATTGGCTATTTCATCTTTGCTTGACAAAGACTGTGAGCTTGCTTCTAAACTCTGCTGGGATGATTAAGTGCCAAGCATACAGAGTTGGTAGGCAAAGATGAACAATAAGAAAAGGCACCAGTGAAATGTGGGGTGTATATTTCCAATCAGCTTGTCAGTAGTTCCATCAAAATTACATTTTCTAGATTCCAGGATTTCAGTCCTAGACTTAGATACTAGGTCCCTTAAAGATAGGGTGCTGGAAGGGTGATGTGTGGTTTTGCAGTTAGCTTGATTGTTAGGTTTCTATATAATTGGCTATCTCTTGAGCAAATAAATGTCTTGCTCAGAGAAGTTTTTTTTTAGGAATTGATTTTATTTCCTCTCAATGAGTTTTTCAAGCATAGAAAATCATACTGGAAAATATATTCTCAGTACGTGGTCTTTATTAGATAAGTGGCAATATTGTATAATTTTCTTTTATCAGGGTGGAGCCCGATGGTTTGAAAACGTGTATAAAGATGGCAGTCTCTATAGAAAACCATGCCTTGGGGCTTTCCTAATCAGAGCTGCAGTTCATAATGCAACAATTCTTTACTAAATCCTTTAGGTCAAGCAGAGCAGGTGGCGAAGTTTTTGAACGTGAACGCCAGTGAACAACTTCTGCTTCAGGCTGATGTGGCTAGCAAGGCTGATTTTACTTTAAGCAACCGTTTAACATATTATAGCCCAACACTTGAACAATGTCCGTTTAGCACTCCAGTTTCCTTTTTTGCTCTCCTGGGAATTTAATTTAGTTTGATAATTTGCTATTGACACTTAAGCCAAGGAGTTAAAAAAATGGTATGTAACTTTAATTTTGAATTACATTTATTATCCTATTTTCATTTATTACATCAAATAAGTTATTTTAATGCACCTTTTGTCCCCACTTTTGTAACCTTCACAAAATTACCTCAAATTACATACGTGCACACAGTTGTAATTTTAGCAAGAGACAGTTTTGAGCTTTGCTTTTCTTTTCCTTCCTATCATATCAGAATGTTTTCATGTTTTGTCACACTCTTCAAAATGATTATTTTAACGGCCTCTATCTTGTCAAATTGCTCTTCCTTTAAATACTTCCCTACCCCCTCCCAGATTTTGAAATTAATCTATGCTCATCATAGGAATTTTAAAGACTAGAGAGTAGTTTAAAGTAGTTTAAATAAGACAGTCCCATCATTCATAATTCCACCATGCTAAGATAGACTCTTAGCATCTTGGGGGATCTCCTTGTGTTTGCTTTATAAACTGTTAAACAGTTTGGGGAGATCCTACTGCAGCCTACATTTTTCACTCAATATGTCTTGAGTGTTTGGTCCTGCCATTAAAGTTCTTTATTCATTGTTTCGAATAGTGCAGTAATTTGCCGTTATTTACTCAGTCATTTCTCTGTTGTTGCTCATTTATTTCCCTTTCCCTTTAAAAATAAGACTGTGATAAGTATCTTTGGGCCGTAATTCCCTATCTGCCTTTAGGTTTAAACTGGTTTAAACTGAATTCCTAGAAGTAGGGTTACTGGGCCAAGAGCAACCTCTTGATACTAATGCTTGACACTAAATTGCTTTCAGAATGGTTATATCAACTTGCATCCCCACCACTGGAATATATGCTTGCCACGCTCTGAGTATTAGCATTAAAACACACACACACGCACACACACACACACACACACACACAAATAAACAAAAAACCTTTACATTTACTAGGCCGAAAGGGGCAAGGGGGAGGCAGGATTTGGTTTAAACACTTTGTTTATTCGCCACTTATGTTTCTTCTTTGGAATATTAATAGTTTTAAGCTTGTACTTCTTTTTTGTTGTTGCGATTTTAGTGTTTTTCTTACTACTAGTTTATATGTGCCCACCGTGTATTTCTCACTATTTATTCAACAAACTGAATACTTACTTTTTCCCAGGCCTGTGTTGAACATTGGGGACACAGCTGTGAACAAGGCTGAAATGATCCTTGCCTTTGTGGAACTTACAGTTTAGTGTGAAAGGTGCATTAAATAATTATATGCATAATTATCAAGGTGATGGATGGTATAAAGAAATACAGGATGCAGTGAGAATATATAGCAGGAGGACACAGGCTGGTCTATAGCAGAGGTTGGCAAACTCCAGCCCACTGCCCGTTTTTATAAATAAAGTTTTATTGGAATTCGGCCATGTTCATTCTTTTACGTATTGTCTGTAGCTGCCTTCCCACTACAATGGTAGAGTTGAGTCATTTCAACAGAGATGATAAGGCCCATAAACCTAAAATATGTATTACCTGGCCCTTTACAGAAAAAGTTTGCTAACTCCTGGTCTAATAGGTCAGGGAGGGCTTCCCTTGGGAACTGATGTTTAAAGTAGGACTTAAAGGTGAGTGAGTGTTAGGTGTGCTAAGGAGAGCCTCCTGGGCCACGACAGTAGCCGGTGAAGGTCCTGGAGTGGAAAGGAGCGTGTGCTTTCTGAATCACTGACGGAGTCCGCCAGTGGAGCTGGAGTGCAGTGAGCTTTACTAGCTGACACTGGAGAGGAGAGGCCATATATCAGACAGGGACTTAGAGATCATATTCACGCATGGAGTGTGGGATGCAATCAAAGAGCCTTATGCAGGGCATAGAGATGAGCCGATGACCAGAGGTGCATTTGAAAACCAGTGCTGAGTGTAGCGTGGAGCACGCGTCGGAAGATGCACGCGTGGACATCGGGAGCCTGCTTAGGAGGCGCTCGCAGTGTCCGACGGGCTGTGCTGGTGACTTAGATGAGCGTGGTGGCAATGGGAATAGAAGGAACTGAACAAATGCCAGACATATTTAGAAGATAGAGAGGATAGAACGAATGGGTGGGGGGTGACTGCAGACAGCTGGGTGGATGGGAATGCCATGTATTGAGATGAGATCACGAGCACTGAAGCCTTTTTGCAGAAGCTAAGTTCAGTTTTGACCGTGTTGGGTTGGTGCTGCCTTTACAGACATCCGAGTGAGACTGTCAGGGAGGCAGTTGGAAATCTCAGTATTGGGAGCAGTTAGCATGATGGTGCCAGTGCCGGCATTTGAAGGTCCAGTTAGAGGAGGAGGAACTGGCAGGAAGATTAGAAAGAAAGTGGTCAGAGGGTGGACAGTGTGCTATCCTGGAAGCCAGGGGCGGAGAGCTTGTAGAAGTGATCATCTGTGTTGACAGCTGCCAAAAGGTCAGCAAGGTGAGGACTGACAGTTGTCCGTTGGATTTAGTGAGCATGTGACTGGGTGTGTAGGCTGAGGGGTGACTGTAGATGGAGAGGAAGAGGAGAAACCTGGGGTAGAAGCTCCTGAGGTTTGGCTGTGAAGAGAGAGTGTAGAAGCCTTACGGAGGATGTGAGGTGGAAGGAGGACTGGAGGTGGGAGAGACTGAAGCCCAGGGGAGGGAGAAGGTATAGAACAGTGGTCCAGCCTCTGTGCATCAGGACCACCTGCGAGCCGTTTGAGAAACAGGGATGCCAGCACCCCTCCCCTCCCATTGGTTCCATCGGTCTTGGATGGAGACCAGGTGTACCGTGTTCCAAAGGCTCTCCAGGTGATTCTAACGTGCAGCCAAGGTTGCGAACCAATGGTAGAGAACAGCGGTTCTCACACTGTGGTCCCTGGACCAGCAGCTTCAGGGTCACCTGGGAACTTGTTTGAAATGCAAATTCTCAGGCCCCACGTGGGGATGCTAGTGCACACTGAAGTTTGAGAACCGCTGCTGTAAAGGCTGGTCTACACTTTCAAAGTCAGAAGCGTGTAAATCCACCTGCCACATGCCTCCTGGGCCTTCCTGAGTGTCTTCAGCCCCCATTTCTCCAGGCCTTGTGCATTTTTAAGACTATTTAAAACTATATTTAAACTGTGCTTAAAACTGCATTTTAAACTGTATTCGATCCTCAAAAAGAGTCCATAACCCTGCATTCTGTCTCAGTTAAAATTATATTTGGATATTTGAGGAAAACAGTACTGTCCGGAGCCATGTGATCTGAGTCCTAGCTGGAAAGCTAGCAGGTAGTTAAGACGGGACCTAACCTACCTAATCTCACTTGCTCTGAAACACCACTAAAACTGTATATAGTAAAGGGATTTTAAAAAGTCATCAGTTACTCCAAGATAGGAAGCCCAGAAAGGGAAACAAGAGCAATCAAATACTAGAAGCTGGAAAACAGAAGAGTGGCAACTGACAGCTGGAACCAGCAGTGGGGGGACGTGGAGGAATAAGTCTCCACTGCTTACGCTGCAGATGCCGCCAAGACTCAAGGGCTGGCAGTTCCAGGTGTCTCCAGAATGCGCGGGAGGGGTGAGGGGAGGTGGGGCTCAAATGAGTGAGCTGGGCAGAAATGCTGAGACGCGGTTAGAGCCCAGGCTGTCCTCTCCGACTCTACTCAGAGGTTTCCCCTCGCGGGTAGAGGTCTGGAAGCTTCTTCTCTGGAGGGGTAGACAGAAGGTCTTGGAGTAAGGCGGCTGCCAGGCCTCATGGGGGCTGCACGCTGCATGCTGAGGGTGGAGAGACGGAGGTGAGTGGTGGAGGCCCCTGGAGGGCCGGAGTCCGGCCGTGTAGGTGAACACACAGGCCAGAAGAGCAGGCTCATGCGCCCAGGGGGAGGGGCTACTTGAGCTAGAGACGTGGTGGGGGATTGAGTAGTTTCAGGGCCAGGTATGCCGCTGAGAGTGGACGGTTCAGGTGGAGGGAGAGGGTCATTGGAGGCGAGGAGGCCCAGGAATTGAGACACCAGAGTGTTGGGTGGGCCATCCACGCTCTTCAGATCACCCAGAGCAAGTGCAGGAGGCAGGCCGAGGCAGGTGCCACAGTCGGAGCCGTCCTGGGGCACAGTGAGGGCGGGCAGCCCTGTGGGCCCTCTGTGGTCTCCGGTGGAGCGAGGGCGGCTTAGAGCTAGATGCGGACTCGGTGGCCTTCCTGCCGTGTTCTTAACCAAATGTTTGATGCTCATCATTTAAAACATTTATGAAAACCCTAAACATCTAGGTGTTTCCAGTTTCTGTTCACTTTTGAATTGTAATTTCCGATGCAGAATAACCTTGTGCAGGACAGAGTGCTGGAAGACTAGGATTCTGCACCCTCATTCGGGACCCTTCTGGCCGTGGGGCTAAGGAGTGTTCTGGGTGAGCTGTGGGCATGTCGGGGCTCTCAGGTTAGACCTCCGCCCTCTGCACTAGAGCGGGAGGCCAAGCCATAGAACCTGAGTGGTGGGTCCCCTCAGGGTTGAAGGTTCTGGGGGATTCTGGAGAGGTAAGAGTCGTACAGAGGCCTTAACAAAGCAGGTCCCACAGATTACTCTGGTTTTTAATTTTTTTCCTTTTCTCTCATGGAAGGAGAGAAGATACATGGGCATTCCATGGTCAGAAGTTGAAACTCTACCTAATTTTGTAGCTTGTGTGAACTAGTTTCATGTCCTAAAATAACAGCTTTTTTTTTTAAAACAAACTTTGGGTTAGTGAATATTCTGTCACCGGTTCTTACTTTTGGTTTGGCCTTTTTCATTCCAGCTCTATTACCAGGTCTTAAACTTTGCCATGATTGTGTCTTCTGCGCTCATGATCTGGAAAGGCCTGATCGTCCTCACTGGCAGCGAGAGTCCCATCGTGGTGGTGCTGAGGTGGGTCCTGCCAGCCGTCCTACTGCTGCCCAGGACCCAGGAGCAGCGTGGACAACCCAAACTCGGTGTTTTAATTGGATAAAGTTTTAGAGTTTTCTTTCTTGATACCTGTTTTGAGAAGGTTTCTTTTTTTTTTGGCTTTTGTTGAAAAATCTTTTTCAATAGACAGTTGAGGCCTTTCATCATGTTGATGCTTGTGGTCCAGTGCAATGTGATTCACTTTCATTTTTTAATCCATGTTAAATGACATTTTAATAAGATAGTAATAATGCATTATTTGTGTACACATTGATTTTTAAACATAACTAATTTAAAACTCTTACTTGGTTCTCTTTGTCCCGCATGGGCAGGGAGTCTGTGCCCAGCATGGTGTCTGGTGTTTGCTTAGGTTTCTTCAGCAGCGCTGTGGTAGCTGACTCCTCTCTTCTCAAGACTCTCAAGACTTTTACTCTTAGAAAGCACAGCGTATTCATCTTAGAACAGTTTATACTTTAACTTCCCAGAGCCATGAAGTCATCCAAGGGGAAGAACTTAACAATCAACTTGAAATTAAATAGCGTGTTTGTGAGCCCTTAGGTGCTTGGAGATGCTCTGCTCACGGTGCCTTAGATCGCTGAGTCTCCCTGCAGTGGGAGTGGAGCCCTGTTGTTCCACGGGGAGCAGCGGGCTGGAGCAGTGACGCGGGCCGGGTCACCGCTGGCCAGAGCGGGAGAACCAGCACGCAGGCTTCTTGGCCCCCAAGCCAGTGCCCTTTCCCTCCTCTGGGCCCCGCTGTCACGTGATGGGGCAACAGCTCTGGCCCGGGCTTCACCAGGCCACCCTTCTGTGGCTGGCCAAGGGGCCTGCTTCTAGAGATGCAGCATTTTCATAAACTTAGGAGCCTGAGGATGGCATGGTTCACACACAGAGCTGAGGGGGCCTCTAATTCACTGGTGTTTACACTGTGCTCCAGGGGTGCCCTAGGGTCCAGGTGGATGGGTTAGGAGGGAAAAGGTGACCAAGCTCACGGACTATAGACACCTTAGCCTTGCTTCGGTTGTGACAGCTCCACTTTTATGTACTTTATGTGACTATATTTTACCTGGTAAGATTTGATTTGAAGGAAGGATTTTAAGGCTTTTGAAAAAAAGAAAAAGTTAAGCCCCTCAAATTGAGATGGGCCCAACAAATATGGAAGCTGAGGTCCAACAAGGCCAAGTCGCCCGCATCTCACAGTTACTTTCGGCAGAGCCAGAACTCGGTCCGAGGTGTTCCAGCCCTTCTTCAATCACACAGACACACTGGCGTGCAGAGATTATTGTGAAATTGCAGTACATGGGGACTTTTTTTTTTTTTAAAGCATCCTTTACAATTCTAAAGCAATTTGGCTTGTCAGTATAAACTGTTGACATCATGAGGGATGTGTGACCTTGGGGAACACTGACCTTGGGGGAATCCCTGGCCCTTGAGGAAAGCAAGAGTAAGTTGTTATTAGTGAAACATTTCAAAGGACTGCCTTCCTAATGGGGCACGATAATGACTCTTGCTGCCAAACTTCAGCGTACTCATCCTGCCTCTGAGACTTGTTCAGGGAGTTTTTTTTTTAAAACTGCTGTCCTTGTTATCACAGACTGAGATGGTTTTCTAGAAACTTCTTCCCACTGCATGTCTTCAGGAATTTTGTCAAAGGAGTAAAGATGAAGCAGTAGGTGAAGAAATTATCCTAAGCATTTTAGCCATCATTGGCTTTTACTTCGAAGAGTCCACATTTTTCTTAGTTCTTTTTCTACCCAATACAAACTGCAGAGCGACCCGCTAGTGCCCTTTTCATACTCAAATCCAAGAAGAAATCGCTCCCTTTCTCACCATTATCACCTTGAGCCATCAGAAGGAAATTGCTGTGGTTTGTTTTATATCAGAGACCTGCTTGACTGTTGATGAAAGCGGATATTCTAAGTGGTATGTTTGTTGTATTCTTTATGGGTTGAAATATTCACCTGGTGTGAACATAATTCTGATATGACTTTGTGTTTCTTTCCAGTGGCAGCATGGAGCCCGCCTTTCACAGGGGCGATCTTCTGTTCCTAACAAATTTCCGAGAAGACCCGATTAGAGCTGGTGAAATCGTTGTTTTTAAAGTCGAAGGCCGAGACATTCCAATAGTTCACAGAGTAATCAAAGTTCATGAAAAGTAAAGAGGCTTTACTTCTCTTTGGTTTTGTTTTGTAGACACAACTGTGGACAGTTTTAATGGTTGATTAGAAAGTAGCAGAAACACTGGATTATGTTCCTAGTTTTGCCATTTAGTAATTGGGTGACTTTGAACCTGCTACTTAACTGAGTCTGTAAGATGGGAATAATACTTTACCCACAGTAACTCACAGGGTGATTATGTGAATGAAATGAACTGATGTTTACTAAAGCACTTGAAAAACGAATTGCTGCACAATGTACACTGGAATGTATTCTTGCAGAATATTAGCTATTTGAAGGAGTCTCAAAGAAAATCAAATCTCATGGTAATTGAGGATAATTTTCGTAAGAGAATTATCTTCTGAAATGCAGAAAGCTACCTGTTTCTCAGTGTCACTTTGGACAAACTGGCATTCTCAGCAGTAATATTAGCCCTGGATGAATAAAAATTCCTTTCCCCATCTCATCCCATGATTTGATCATTGCATATCCTGCATTAATTCTCCCCACCACAGATGGCTTTGCCTTTTCCTTAAATGCCAGTGATGACTTATTAAAACACTTCTTGGGAACCAGAAACAATGACTTCTAGCTCAAACGTATTAAGTTTCCATGAGAGAGTACAGTCACGTGATTAGCGAAAACGTTACATATGTGGTTATTCATTTACCTTTATGCAGCTTAGTATAGCATTTTACCTGCATGAGTTATGGGATTAAAGTTAGGTATATATATTTGTATTTTTTAAATAATGGAGCATTGCTCATTCTCTCTCTGTGTGTGTGTGTTTGTGTTTGTGTGTCTAACTATTTGTACATTTCTGGTATGAGATTCTTATTCCATTCACTGCTTCCAGGTATTCCCCAAAGATGTTTGATACTAAAAATATTCACTTCATTTTACTCTAAACATTAGAATGATGTTTCAGTTTGTGTTAAAACACTGGTATTGCACTAACATTACCTTGTTAGTAGTACTTGTTAACTTACTGATGAAGAAATACGCTCAGTCATGATGCGACAGAACTCTCACCTGATTTTAAAACAATGTCCAAAGATGGGAAATTGTGCATTTCCTGTAGAGCTGCACTAGCCAATGAGTTCGCCACCCGCGATATATGGTTACTGAGCACTTGAAATGTAACTAGTGTGAAATATACACCAGGTTTCAAAGACTTAGTACCAAAAAAGACTATCTCAATAATAATTTTAGATCGATTATATGTTGAAGGAATACTTTTGATATATTGAGTTAAATAAAATATATTATTAAAATAAAAAAAAACAAAGATGAGAAATTGTTCAAAGTTAAGGAAATAATGATGCTTTGCTTTCGTGAATTGTGAGAGATGGCCCGGGTTTTTCTACTCTTAATTTATTTTATAACCATGGCTACAAATCCGCTCGCTCTTTTGGGCGTGGTTTCAAATCTTTGTGGGCTTTTAATATTTTATCAGATTATTTAGTGCATTTTCTCATTTGTCTTATTGAAAAAAGACCCTCTTTATAGCTCTATAAGGCTATAATATTGTGTTTCTAGTATCAAGGCTGTGTAAGCACCAGTTTACAATGTTTAAAATGAATCCCCCCTGTCTCTTTAACACAGTGGTTTTATGCCGTTTGTAATTCCTGTTTGTTTGCAAACTGGATTGTAATCCACTTTGCACAGTGGTGAAGGAAATAAGGCATTAACACATCCCACATTTGGTAAGGAAAAATAAGCTTGAGGAGAGCTAAGAGCACATTTGTGTTTGAATTACCTTGTGCTCAAATCTGTGTAATCTGGGACCAAGTTCATGTGTCGAGTGAAGAGGAATATAATCTGTGTTAACCAGTTGGTCTGTGGGGATGAAGAATGGATGGAAACAGATGCTGGAGCTAAGCATTGCCTTCCTGGTGCCCTTGTGCTTCGCCATGCTTTTTGGTTATCAGGGTAACTTAAGTGTTTTAGAATTTAAGTCTACAAAATTGTCATTAGATTTGTGCTTTAGTTGAATGGTTGTCTGCCAGCAAGCATCTTAGACCAAGAAAGATCAAGTTATCTTTGACTGCTTTTCTCAGTGCCCAAATCTGCCTGTGAAGTGTTGGCCAAGCTAATACTTTTCTAACGATGCTGTGCTGAAAATAATTTTTGAAAGGACATTGTTTTGCTTTCCAGAGATAATGGAGACATCAAATTTCTGACTAAAGGAGATAATAATGAAGTTGACGATAGAGGCTTGTACAAAGAAGGCCAGAACTGGCTCGAAAAGAAGGATGTGGTGGGGAGAGCCAGAGGGTGAGTGAGGATTAACTTTTAAGTTATACAGAAGATTCAGAAACCAGAAAAATATTTAGAAACAAAGAAACCAAGGTTAATAGAATTATACATTACAAAGATTATACGTCAGGAGAGTTGTAAGCAGTTATTCTTTGTACTGTAAAGACTAAACAAAATTCAGAACTTCCTAAGGACCTGAAATCTAAAGCTGAATGCAAGTATGCTATCTGTATCATGGGTTTAATTCTATTTTTGAAATAAATCCTCACCTAGAGATTATTTATAGATTTTAAATAACAATTATAAGAAATCCTTTCAGAAATAACTACTGTGTAACACTGTGATGAATATTCTAGGTATTCCTGGTACCTATATAGATGTGTGTATGCATATATAATTTTACATAGAAGAGTTTTATTTTTTCACCCAAGAGAAGGTTGCACATAGCTTTCTGTGTCAAATCTACACCTATATCTTTTTTTTTTTTTTTTTTTTTTTTGGGGCGCGGGGCCCTTTCTTTTTTGTGGCCTCTCCCATTGTGGAGCACAGGCTCCGGACGCACAGGCTCAGCGGCCATGGCTCACGGGTCCAGCCGCTCCGCGGCATGTGGGATCTTCCCGGACTGGGGCACGAACCCACGTCCCCTGCCTTGGCAGGCGGACTCTCAACCACTGCGCCACCAGGGAAACCCTACACCTATATCTTTTTAAACGACTGCATAATGTTCCTCTGAGAATCATAACTGATTTCACTAGTCCTCTTTTGGTCAACATTTAGATTATCTCCTGGTTTTTACTACTAAGAAAAGTTCTGTGATAAAATTTTTAATACCCACCTTTGCATAATTGTTCCAGCCATGAGTTCTGCTTCTGATTGACACAGCAGAGAGTCTGTCCTGTTATTAAATACCAAAAGAGATTCTCCCCATCTCTTGGTGACCCTTTTTATATTTAACCCTTTCTAGAAATGTCTCCTTTCATTGAAATCCTACCAGCTGTGTAAGGCTGGAGAACACCGGTGACCATTTTCTAAGATGCAGCTTTATTCATCAGCTCTTTCGACCCCTTTCCTCCCTCTGCTCACCTTTTAACCATTTCTCCTCTGTTGCAATAATCCCACCTGGATATCTGCAGGGAGATGACAGAGACCTGCAGCTGGTCAGTCCTGTATTTCTAGACACTCTGGTGAGAGGCTGTGTATAAGTGAGAGGTTGATGCCACTGATTTTCAAGCAGACTGGAGGGTACTAAGGGAGTGTTACCTTGTTTCCTATCAGTGACATGATGGACACTTGGGTCAAACTGATTCCATATTGACATTAATTTTGTCAGCATGATCATTGGCTGGTTTATCCTGGCTTATCCGCTCTGGGATCATAATCATGTTTGGGTATAAATTACGGGATTCACATTTGTGTCCACTGCCCAACCGACTTCTTTGTTACATCTGAAAAGTGCTGTGCAATGAAAATGATGAGGATTCCTTCAGTTACAAACTATTGGGTTGCCAAAAAGTTTGTTCAGGTTTTCCCGTAAGATTTAAACCCGAACGAACTTTTTGGCCAATCCAGTAATTATTCATGTGCTTTCAAAGCTCTCTCGCACAGCAGTTTATATATAGGCTATCTGAATCTTACATCTCTACTAAGAAAAATTAAGAACTCGATTTGCCCTTTCTGTTGTACAAGTGGCTCAACTAATTATTTTCATTCTGTTAGGGTGAAATGCAGCAAGTGAAGACAAGTAGCATCTCTAGATCCTAATTTGCCTTCTTAAAAAGTTGTCCTGGCTGTTAGCGCTAATGCTTTTTACTAATAAAACCTTCTGAGACAGGAGTGAATATTGTTTTATGGCCCCAATCAGTGTTGTTCCCAAGGAAGACGTTTTCCTATGCTGATTTATAGTGTTTTCAAGTATTGCTATCATTATATTACAAACACTTTTTACACTTCTGGCTTTTTATCCCACAATTTAGGTTTTTACCATATGTTGGTATGGTCACCATAATAATGAACGACTATCCAAAATTCAAGGTAGGAATTTATGTGTACGTCTTTATTTTTTAAGAAAATACTGGCGCTTTTATACATGCAACTGTAAAGATGCAGTCTGTTAAGGATGTTCTGCTAGCGAGTTCTTCTGCAGAGTATTTGTAGTTAACGACAAATTAATATACTCATTTTAATTATGTTTTAAATTATTGAAATTAATTATTGAAAGTAAGTACTTCCACCTTTTATGTTTATATAGTATGTTCTAAAATGGCACCTATATAGTTTTTGCTTTTTATTATGGAAATCTTTAAACATATGAAAAAAGTTGTACAATAAGCCCAGTAATGCTTATCTCCCAACTTCAACAAAAATAGTATCCATAAGTATATATATATATATTTTTTGCGGTACGCGGGCCTCTCACTGTTGTGGCCTCTCCCGTTGCGGAGCACAGGCTCCGGACGCGCAGGCTCAGCGGCCATGGCTCACAGGCCCAGCCGCTCCATGGCATGTGGGATCCTCCCGGACCGGGGCATGAACCCGTGTCCCCTGCATCGGCAGGCGGACTCTCAACCGCTGCGCCACCAGGGAAGCCCCCATATGTTATTTTAATCACTTGAAGCACAGTGGGAAACCTACACATGAATGAGTAGCACATTAGCAGTGTTTGTTGGGTGTGTGATCCTTGGTCCATCAATATATTTGGGGGTTTTAACTGTTACGTGTTATTGAACAGCTCATTTCGAGAACAAAGCATGTGGAAGAGGTCATCTTTTGATCCTGTCCTCAGTCCAGTATTGACCAGACTTTATCTGAATACATTTATAGACCAAATTTGTTTGTAGTCCTCACGGTAATTTTCCGCTGTGTTTTCTTTGCAGTACGCTCTTTTGGCTGTAATGGGTGCATATGTGTTACTAAAACGTGAATCCTAAAATGAAGGGCAATTCCTGGGACCAGACAGAAATAAATTCTGTTGAAAAAGAGAAAAGCTAATATATTTGCAATGTTCCACTTTCTGTATAAAAGGAAACAATGTGGAGACGTTTTTGTCTTGTTTGAATAAACGATTCATCGGTGAAGATTGTTTTCTTTTGTGGACTCTGATTTGAGTGTGCTCAGTCTCTCTGCTTCTCGTGGTGATCATTCTAAGCCAAGCGTGAGGGTCTGCAGCACTTCAAGAATCAGGCAGGCCGTCTCTGGGCCTGGCCTGCTAGTGGGATAATGTATAGTCCAAACGTGATATAGTTGTAACACCTGAGTTTCAAAAATAAAATTCTTCTCATAGCATTTCCACGAGAAACAGACAGGCCCTTAAAAGAAAATGATTTCTTATTTATTGAAGTGTAGTCTGATAAACGAATAAAACCTAAAACCTTTTTAGAAGGAAAGGTGTAATCTGCTTTGTTCTTGTGGCCTGGTGTGTCTTGAGATGGTTGGATAAATTATTTGAAAAGTGTCTGATAAATTATGACAACAGTGCGTACTCCTTTGACAAACTGCTCGAAGCACAGAAGGGTAGAAGGGCTGTGTCCTTTGTCCCCTCAGTCTCCCTCTCCACTTCCCAGGGATCTCCACTGTTACAGTTCAGTTTCGTTATCTTTGCACTGTACACAGTCCTGAATATAAAATAGTCCCTCGTTAAACCTCTTTCAGACCCTCGTGTCCCAGCTGCTGCCTTAGGTGCTAGGGATACTGAGTCCCAGCCTGGATGGAGGTTCCAGTGTAGTAGAAGGAACAGGTGATAAACTGACGTGTGATTTCAGGAGGGACAGTTGCTGTGGGAAAGAAGCAGATAGAGGGTGCTTTTCACATGGGTCAGGGGAGACCTCTGAGGAGGGGACGTAGAGCAGAGTTAAAAGAAACGAGAGGAGGGGGCTTTCCTGGTGGTCCAGTGGTTAAGACTCTGTGCTTCCACTACAGGGGGCAAGGGTGGGGCAAGGGTTTGGCAAGGGTTCAATCCCTGGTTGGGGAACTAAGGGCCAAAGAAAAAAGAAAAAAATAGAAACACTCCCAGGGAACACTGGTGCTGCTGGTGCCCGGACCACACTGCAAAGTGTTAAGGGAATAAAAAGGAGGCCAGTGGTATTTTCAGATACTCTCTTCAGTTTTGCCAAAATGTTCTCTCTTCACCGAACAATACGATGTTGACATCCTTTTCAGTCAGAACTTAGAAATCTACCTCATTCTTTCAGGTTTGTTCATTTCTGATCTAACAATTTAGAATCCTGCCTGGTAGCTTAACCACCCATGGGCCTTGAGCATAACTTCCCTCAACCTCAACTGGAAGATGAGAACTGCTCTCACCTCCCTGCATGTCCCCAGGAACTAGTAGATGATTCCTTGGCCCAATGCTGCCCACGTACGCAGTTTGCACTCAGTACATGTCACCCGTGGTTACGTGTGTTTTCCTCTTCGGCATAACCTGTGCCTTCACACACCTGTACAGTCACTTTGTGACTGAGCTGTGATTTGGGGACGACCAGCAGGTGTGATCCGTGGCGGGCAGCCTGCCCTTTAATCCTTAATCGCTGCTAAAATAGGCTATTGCAATAATGGACCTCATCCTGTTGAAATCAGTGAAGTGAAAGAAAAATTTACAGGATGCTTTCTAAAAACATTATTCTCTGGTGCCCTTTGATAAACTCTTTTTTAAGAAAAGTAGGTTTTTCATCCCTGAACTAAAGGTGGAATTTCAAATGTTGGGTCAAAACTTTATTATTTTATCATCTTTCTGGGGTTCTGTAGTTGGTTAATATAAACTTTAAAAAGCTCCGTAATGTGGCTAAGCTTTTCGGTAATCCTTTGAACATGCCTGACATTCTGAAATTTTACAAAGACAGGTAAGAACCCAGACACAGTTCAGCCAGTGCCATTTGGTTGTGGCTTGTTAGAAAGTATGATCTCTTTTGGCCTTTTAGAGGCCACTGGTCTTTATCAAATGGAAATGATGGAAGTTAATGCTGGATCGATGTTCTTTTATCTGGAGTCTCAGTTGCAGCCTCGATGTCTGGAACGAGAACCAGGCCTGTATCTGGGCAGACAAAACTAGCACTGCGGTGTGGCAGTGGATTCACTGAGTAGAACCTCTTGCTGGGAGCTTCTGTATGCTTCTGGGACACACATTTCTCACGTGGTTGAGCAACTGCTTTTCCATTTCACGACAGCTTAGAAACCTCAAGGTGAAGGTGTCTGGTGGACACTGGCCAAGCAAGGATACCCACCGAGAAGGGAGAAGACCAAGTATAAAAAACAGTGGAAGGGACTTCCCTGATGGCGCAGTGGTTGAGAGTCCGCCTGCCGATGCAGGAGACACAGGTTCGTGCCCCCGTCTGGGAAGATCCCATATGCCGCAGAGCGGCTGGGCCCGTGAGCCATGGCCGCTGAGCCTGCGCGTCCGGAGCCTGTGCTCCACAACGGGAGAGGCCACAGCAGTGAGAGGCCCGCGTACCGCAAAAAAAAAAAAACAAAAAACGAAAAAAAAAAAAAAAACAGTGGAAGGATTTCAAGACACCACCTAGTGGAGGGACAGACAGCTCATGCTCAGCTCACAAAGGACTCTGATACACAAGGACACTTACACAGAAGCTAAATGGTGTTTGCTATTCTGTATTTTAAGATCGATTTAGGTTTCTATCAGAAACTGGAAATTTTCTACTGTGGAATTAAGCTTCAGTTTTTTAAAAAGGTTAGTGGTGGAACCTCTGATTTCCCAACCCACAGGTCTCAGTCCTGCCTTTTTCCCTTTGACAATGAATGTGTCAGTCCTATGCAGATGCTAGACACACACACACCCTGAAACGACCAGATAGTGGGCTCTAAACTCCTCTATAAAATTTTTGCCACTGTCCCAAGCAAGCAAGCCTGGGCAGATGAAACATTCTTGCGAAGTGGAAGAGGTCTGACTTTTAAGTAAGCCAGGTAGAAGAATCTTTAAATAAAGAAGCAAGCCTGGCGTCTGCTCTATTGAAAACTGCCCAGGTGGCTCATGCGGCCAGGGTTGAAGACCACTGGGAAACTTCCGCACAGATTAGTCAGGAGCAAATGTGATTAGGATGCTTGATTGTTCACATCTTCCATTTCGTCTTCATGAAGTCATTTGCAGATTGCATGGTAGGAAAAAGCCAGACATGCACCGTTTCTATGTGCTACCCTCTCCCCTCCCTTTCCCACACCCAGCTGATGCTAGCCATCTTGATTAACTGTCTCCTGGTTTCTGCTTCAGTACCTCGTCTTACTAAGTAGCCTTTGGCCCGGCACACGGGTCGGTCTGTTTAGTCTCAACCTGAAAATCCAGGCGGAGATCCATCCATCCCCACTCTGTGGGTTCAGCAGTTCGCTTAGTTTCCAATGAGAGGCATGGGGACGGGGTTGCAGTGGAAAGAGGCTCTGGAGTCACCGTGGTTTAAGCCTTGCCTCCACCTACTAGATATGTAGCTTGTAACTGATGAGACTCAGTTTCCTTATGTCCAGAATGAGTGTCCAGGTGGGCGAAGGATTTGTTAGATGCTTGGTGTTCATCAAACAGGGCTTTACGCTTTCTTCCTCAAGATCACTGGAGTTTGACCACTTAGAATTTGTTTATTTTTTAAGCCCCCATGTCCTCGTGAACATTCTTCCCTATCGTTTTTGGCTGTGAATTCTACTACGTTTTCTCTGGATTTTAAATCTGCTTCCCTGCATTGTTGCAGACGTATCAATGGACATTTGCCCCCAGAGCCTTTGCTTTTAGCCACATGAAGCTTCAGGAAGATGTAGGAGAGGGGAAGGCCCTTTGCCACGTGATCTTGGTGGCAAAGCCTTCTGTTGTAGTTTTCTCTGGGCTTCTTCCCCTTCAGTCCTCACCCAAACACTATCCACTACATGCCTCCTGTCAGGTGTAATCGTCTCCCTGCAGGTGTTTAGCTTTTGCCATATGGCAGGAATTTTGGGGAACAATTTAGAGCAGTTTTAGGTCCACAGCAAAATTGAATAGAAAGTACCAGACGTTCTCCCTGCCCCACAAACGCACAACCTCCCCTACTATCAAAGCCCCTACTCTCAAAGCCAGCATGGTAGTATATTTGTTACATTTATGAACCTACATTACACGAAGCTATCACCCAAATTCCATAGTTTACATCAGGGCTCACTGTTCTGGGTTTTTTTGAATTTTATTTATTTTTTTATACAGCAGGTTCTTACTAGTTATCCATTTTATACATATTAGTGTATACATGTCAATCCCAATCTCCCAATTCATCCCACCACCACCTCCCGCCCTCCACTTTCCCCCTTTGGTGTCCATACGTTTGTTCTCCACATCTGTGTCGCTACAGGGCTCACTCTTGGAGTTGTACATCTTATGAGTGTTGACAAATGTGTCATGACATGTATTCACCATTGTGGTGTCATACAGAATAGTTTTACTGCCCTAAAAACCTTCTGCCTATTCATCCATCCCTCCCCCCACCTCTAGCAACAACTGATCTTGGTCCTGTCTCCATAGTTTTGCCTTTTACAGAATATAAAACAAGCAACACCGCAAAACAGAAAAGAAAATCCTCTGGACACCCTGTCTACTCCACTCAGCGTTCTTTGGTTCTCTCAGGTGCTCTGGGACCTCATGCCTTGAGGACATAGCTCCTAAACGAATATGCAAACAGTAGTAACTAATAGGGGCATGTTGTCTACCTCTCAGGAGTATTTACATTTTAGTCATGAATTTGTGAAAAAGCTCAAGGCCTTACATGTGGGGTCATTACGGATGCCCGAGTAGCTGAGATAGAAAAATCAGAGGTTTGGAGGAGTGGGAGTTCCCCAAGTCTCTGGAATCACGCTTTTGCTTTGGTTACATGGCAGGGATTATGTCTGAGCTGATGCAGCCCTTGCACAGCTGCTCATAACCACGACCTGCTGAAAACGGATTTATGCAAAACGCCTGCCACCAACCCACCCTGCTGCCACACACACGCCCACGTGTGCAGGTAAGTGGCTTTTGATGGATTAGCTAGTTTAAAATTTCGGTCTGAAATTGGTTAAATAAAAAAAATCAAAATAACGAGTTTGTATCACTCAGGCAAGTGATACGAACTTACAAAAT